AAAAAAAAGATAAAAGCACAGTTTGTGCCACCCAGGGAAGGATATTATTTTTCAAACCCCGGATACCCCCAAATCAATTGCACAAAGGAAGTTAGAGCTTATCTGTTCTCTGTTCCCTACCAGCTTCCCCTTTCACCACATTATAAAACATGTGAAACAGTGCTTCTTTGTCTCGATGCACTTCTTGGACTCTCCTGGAAGGCTTACTAAGCACGGAAGCAAATGTTCAAGAACTCCAATCAGGTGCAGAAGCTTTGGGTCTGGCTCTCTGTGAATCTTTATTTTTAATTAAGTTCCTAGGGGATTCTTATTCATCCTGAAGCTTGGGAATCAGGTTAAAGAGCGACAGGTAGACTATATTCTTTCCCTCTTCTAAATTAATAAAGAAGCAAGATATCCCTAGAGAATTTCTGAAAGTGTACCCTAAAGGAACTAAGGTTTCTCTCAATAAAGAGAAACTATTTGTCCATCTTACGATGTCCTGTCCCACAATGAATCAGTTACTCTATCTCTTTCTCTCTTTCGCCCACAGTCTCACTCTCGTTTTCTCTCTCTCTCTTGCGTATTTCCCCCTAACATTTTATTTGGACAAAAAATTGAAACACACAGAAAATTCAAGAACCGTACAACAAACACCCACCTACTCCATGTGGATTTCACCATTAACACCTTTTATCACGCCTCAGTCCTTTTAAGTCATTTACTATTCATCAACACGTCTTATGTTTTAAATGAATTTCAAAGTAAATTGCAGGTGTAAATAGTAGTCCATTTAGGATAACGGAGGTTTGAAGAATAATAGGGATTATCAGTCATTTCTGGAGTTCAACGGGCAGGATTTGTTGTGTCGTGGCCTTGGGAGGACATTGAGAATGTATTTAATTCAAGACAAGTAAGTTACTCTGGACTAGCAGGAGACAACCCCTACCCACTCCCTTCAGTGGAGAGTCTGTTTGTCTCTTTGCCTTTCAATGGAACTTTTGTTTTGTTGGAGGGTTGGGGCCAGAGAACAGCAGATAACCGTGGGAGCAGCCGGTAGCAATAACTTTCCCCCTCTTTCAAGATCTTGAAACACCAAAAGAGAGATGGTTGGGGCAGAGGTTTGCTGAGGCAGCTGTTACATAGCAAGGTGGCCAGTTAGACTTCTCAGGCCTCCTGTCCAGTTGCCCCACTTCCTGGATGTTGGAACTTGAATAGAACACCATCTCTTGGCCTCGGTTTTCTTGATCCCATACTGTTGTGGAGAAAACAGTTGTGCCTGGCAGATGGTCTACATGCCCCAGTCAATATCCGCTGATACAACAGCATCACTCGCCTTAACGCAGTAGTGTCACTAAAGCGGGAGTCACCCAATGTGGTCACTTAGGGTACCACTCCATCACGGACGCCTCCTGCACTAGGTCATACGGAAACAATACAGCTAAATAATACATTAAAACCATTCCTAGGTGGTCTGCTTCTGAATTGGAGGTTTCTGGGTCATGGTTTCTTAAGAAGCAGAGCAGATCTATGGAAAGTCAGCCTCTATCCAAGGGTTTGTCTGGCACGTCCAAAATCCACGGTCTCCAGCGCTCTGCTGGCTCCCCCACTGCCAAGCACTTCCCCCGCCCCCAAACTCCCCGTGCCCCAGCAACTTGCTCCCTGAGCAGGCGCCCCCTCCAAGCAATCCTGCCTAAATCCACACCGCAGCCCCAGCTTCTCACTCAGGGGGGTTTCCCATGCAGGTGCGCACGCACCTCATGATGCGCGGTGGGTGAGGGTGTGGGTGAGGCACTATAGTGACAAGCTAAATGTCCATGAGTTAAGTGCCTTGGACAGAAACGATCAATTTAAATTTCCTACTGAGATGCTGCACAAACATTTGAGACAGTCATTTTGAGGTCACCGTCTCTGACACCCTCTCAACCAGTGTGGTGTGGACACCCCCCACCCTCCAAAATAGGCATTGCTGGATGAGTTTCAAGTTCACACAAATTTAAATGACTACGACAGTTGGTGAAGAAGAAAAAGGCAAGTCAGCTAAATGGTTTAGGGAAGCAAGTCTAAATACAAAGCATTTCAGAAGGAGGAGGAGTCCAACTTCTTCCAGAAGGCTTTGCTTTAAAACCTGAAAACGCAGTGAATCCGGGGCGGATGATCCCTTCAGGACCAGTGGTGGGAGTAGCGATACTGGAGGGTAGAGGGAGAGTGGGTTGGAAAGAGGGAACTGATCACAAGGATCTACAGGTGACCTCCTCCCTGGGGGACGGACCACTGAAAAGTGGGTGAAGGGAGATGTCAGACAGGGCAAGATATGACAAAATAATAATTTATAAATTATCA